TTCGGCGAGTTGCCCGACGAGGGCCCAGTGCGCAACTTGCCCGAGTGGACAGACTCTGGCCCCGCCAGCAACCAGCCACAGCCGAGCGGTACAGCAGCCCCGTCAGACTTGACCGCCGTCGAGACGACCACGGCGCCGACTATGAGGACAACGTGGCGGTCGAGGAGCACGGCGACTACCTGACAGAGCCCACTGCGTGTGGTATGGCAGCGGTTCCCTCTGCCACGGCCAATTCGGGGGACAGAGCGCCAGTCAGAAAGCCATGCCGGAGAAAGCCCCCGCCTCCGCCCTTGCCCTTGCCTGCACAGCAACCGGCCTCTTCCAGTACTACGCCTCCGGTGAACCCGTCAGCACGCTCACAGAAGAAGCCGCCCTCCTTTCCGCCGGCTAGCAGTGAGACGCCAGTCAGCAAGGCTTTCACAGTACCACCAGAAGCTGTGCCACCCGTTCGGTCCCCTCCGCCGAGAAGGGCAGCGAACGAGCGGTGCCCGTCAGAGGAGCCGAGGACGTCGATTGCCCCGTTAGTGGCCCGGACGGGCAGCCGTTCCATACCTGTCCCCCAGATTACTGGCATCTCACGTCAGTGTGTAGAGTGCGTTGTCCGGTTTGCCTGTCAGGTATGTGCTCCCGCAGGAACCTCAAGGGTTTCAGGAGGGTGCACAGCAGACACCGCTGTCATGCCTGTACACAGCAAGGTAGCTAGGCAGCCCTTCCCGTCAGGCGCTGGGCCGTGGAACTCAGCTTCTCCAGTACAGGTTTTCACGTGAAACGTGGACCTGAGTGCAGCCACCCTGTCAGGACCGCCGTCTAGGAGCGTAAGCCTCCTCGGTTTTGCAGGACCAGTCAGGAAGCTGCAGCAAAAGAGGACCCGTCCGAGCCCGTTCGTTCTGCACTTGTGTGCTTGCTGTGACACGTTAGTGCTAGCCAGGACCTTGCAAGTTGCTTGCTTAGTGTTGGTAGGGACCATTGCAGAGTGAGTTGCATTGCATGTTCGTCCTTTCTAGTTTCCGAGGCCGCACTCGTTAGTACACCGACTTTGGCAAAGGCTTCTTGTCAGGACCTCGAGCTTTAATGGGACCCCCTTTGCAAGAGCGTGCTGCGAAAGAGAGTGACAGAGCATGTGCGGTTTGTTAGCTGTCTTGCTGTCCCGCTTGTTTTGCAGCAATTGACAAGGCGCACGCACTTGTGCACACTGGAGGGTTTCTTGGGCTGGGAGAACAAACCTGTCAGTGAGTCTGTCTTGCACGCGCACATGGTAGCTTGCACGCGTGCTCAGGTCTGCAGTCTCGGTCAGGTCTTGCTTTAAGCTAGTTGGTGTTTGTTTAAGCTACTGTGCCTTAACCCGGCAGAGCTCCTCTCAAGCACTTAGTTTATACCCAAGTTCGCCGTCAGGCGTAGTAGCGAGCAACGCCATGTGGCGCGACCTCGTTAGCTCTGAGAGGCACACCTTTCCAAGCCTCGTTGAAGTTCTGAAAGGGAAAGGCCTAGTTAGGTTCCTTCCACGGCTTCACCTGGAGTCGTTGCGACATATCTTCGGTGATGTCGCCTTGGATGATCTGTTAGCCCCGCCCGCCAGGCCCAGCAAGAAGGCACGTCAGGACATCCCCGAAGGTGAAGCCTCGTACCCGGGGATCGTTGCATTGGTCTCGAGCCCCGCCCGTCAGGGCATTCTGAACCAGTCATTCTGGACCTGAACGAAGCCGACAGGCTCTTTATGCAGGATAGATGGGCTGCCTCTTCACAAGCACCCCGTGATAGCAGGTGGGCGACGTGGACCCGCCTTTGAGCCAAGAGGGGGGGCTCTGCTGGTTCATGCTTCGAGGGATCGAGCTGGCCAACGTACAGGCCAGAGACGTGGTGTTCAACCGTCAGGCGAGAACACTGAAGCTCCAACTCCCCCGTCAGTAAGGCGGACACCGAAGCCAAAGGCTGCTGCAGGGTGCATAAGTGCATTTGCAGCCCCCAGCATGATGCTGGGTGCCGTGATATCTGTTTGGCACAGCTTTCCAGAAGTGCGGGCGCTTTTCAGTTGTGCGGGTTGCAAGACCGGCATGAACGTGCTGTGCGTGTACCACGCCTTGCTCCAGGTAGTGGCCCAGCTGAGGAAGGAGGGTCACGACCCGCGTCTTTATTTTTGTTCGGGAGGGGAGTTTCAGATTGTCATGTTAGCAAGAGCCGAGGCGGTAGACCGGTGGTCCCAACACGTTTTTCGCATAGCTGGCGCGCAGATGTTTGCTAGAGCCCTGTTAGATGTCCCTTACATACAATTGTTGGGCAGATGGGGCAGCAGCGCTGTGCTTAGATACGTGCAAGAAGCAGCAGTCATGTTGCCTGAAAAAGCAGCCTCAGCTGTAGCCGTCCACGTTAGCCAGAAAGCTTCACCCGCAGCAACGACCGAACCACAGGTCCTAGCAAACCCAGGCCACAGCTCCCTGCAGGATTTGATTTGCGGCGCAGTTGAGAACGCCGTGCAAGGTAGCCAGTTGCTGGTGCACAACCCTAGGTCTAAGATGTGCCATCGCCCCTGCCCGAGTGAGAGACAACTTGCTATAGTGACTCCTGGGTGACGTTGTGTGGCAAGTGGTGGTACGGCACAAGCTGCACTAGACGTAACACGTCAGTTTTGGAGGGATACACTCGCTGCTCGCTCTGCTTCCAGTCAGGACCCTCGACCTCTGCCCCGTCAGCTGTTGCAGGTCAAGCTCAGGGAGTAGAGTCGGGAACTGATTCCGACGGATGCGAGGAGCCCAATGACGCAGCCAGCAGCTCTGCCAGACCTCACTGACGTGGCCACTCGTTCAGGCTTCGACAAAGAGATGGTAGTGTTCTTGAAGATGAAGGGAATCTCAAACAGTGGCCTGTTCTTACACTTACACTTTTTCAAGGACAGTTCGAAGATAGGCTCAGGGCAGGAGTCGAGATCAGTGGCTCGACAGTGAAGAAGTCAGATGATGAGCGCCTCATCCTCGAGGCAGCCACTAAGGTGGCCTTGGATGAGTTGGTGCTCCTACATGCACACCTCATGACCGCAGCAGCCCCGGCCTCCGCTTCCCCGTCAGCAGCTACAAGCACGGCTGCCTCGTCGGAGGCCACTGAGAAGGTGCCAAAAGTTCTCCCGAAGACTTGCTGGTCAGAGTACCTGAAGGAGTTTGAAGCTGTTACCGTGTTAGGACGTAACCGGATGTTGGTGTTTCCTGCTCACCTTCTCTTAGGAGCGGAGGAAGTTCTCGCGAGAATGGTGCATCAGCACCAATCCTCCAAGCAGTACACACCTGTGCGCTTAGGAGAAATAATCTCCCTCAGGCACTTTACCCCTAGCAAGTCCGCCAACCCGTTCGCCCCAAAAGACGACAGCAATCTTGGATGAGTCCGGGACCTTCACTAAGGCCTCCCGTCAGGTGGCCGAGCCACAGAAACTGGTTACCATGCTTGATGCTATTGCTGAGGTCCGGTCGTGGCCCAAGCAGGACGAGCTTAACAGGCCTGCCCCGTCAGAGCACGCAGAACCCAGGAGGACCAAGGGTGACTTCGCAATCAAGGGTGACCGCAACGGCATCAAGGGCAAGTCCTTTGACTCCTGGAAGGGTTTCGACGGTTTCGAGTTAGGTAAAGGGAAGGGTTTCACTAGACCCTGGCAGCCCCATCCCTACCGTCCAGGAAACCAGTTCGCTCAGCCGAGGCCTCAGTGTCGACTGTTTGCCCAAGGTTACTGCAGCTCTGCTTGCAAGTTTGCTCACGGCAGTCAAACGTCAGGCCAACATGCACAGGCCAGTCAGTTCCCGCCAGTCGTGCCTTCGGCCCCGTTTGCCCCGGCGTCCGCCCATAGGGACAGCACAGCCCGCTGTTCGCCTCACCAGCGAGAGCCGACCAGTTGAGTGAGGAGCAGCAACCTCAGCCACCGCATGCTCCCCAGTCTCGCCAGGTTCCAGGTTAGACTTTCCTTCTTCTGTGGGATTGGTACTACCTTCTTGGCCTTGCGTGACATTGGGGTCCAACCCGTTCTCCTTTGGTCTTGGGAGACGGGCCCTGATTGCCAACGAGTCACCTCCGCACACTCTTCGTCGACCCGTCATTGGGGTGATGCGCTCAAGTCAGACCCCCGTCAGGTTGCAGCATTACTCCATTCACAGTGTCCGGCCGACACGCTTGTTTTGGTGTGTTCGAGCCCCCCGTGCACAGACTTTAGCCAAGTTCGGAATACTCAGCCGGGACCTGTCGGACCCGAAGGCTGCAAGTTCCGTCAGTGGTGCCAGTGGTTTTCCAGCTTTAAGAGTGCCCTTCAACGCCAACACATTCTCCTGCTTGAGAATGTCGTCCCTTCAGCCGACCTGCGCCGCGAACTTGACAAGTTAGTGGGACACGACTCGTTCGTTGTGGGCGCGGCCTCTTGGAGAGTGGTCTCCAGACCGCGGTTGTGGTGGTCCAACGTACCCCCCGGTCAGTTGACACCACGCAGCCACCAGTCGTTTTGGCTGGCTTGGCTCGCTGGAGGAGTGCAGGACTGCAGCTTTTCACCCCGACGTTCTCGCGGGTCGCACCCTTTTTTCCTTGCTTAACTACACCAGCTCCCACGGAGCAGGGTAGAAGCCCCCCGAACAAGCGGAGGCGAACAGAGAGCTCAGAGACAGTTCGCAGATGGTTGGCGGCTTCCAGGCAGTACCCGCCTCACCAGTACAGAGAGAGGTCTTTGGTCACCATAAAAGGCCAACTCACCACTCCAGATGCGGAGACTCGCGAGTGGCTTCAGGGCCTGCCACACGGGACCACATGCCCCTCAGGACAGCCTGTCAGTCAGAAGGCTAGGTGTAAGATGTTATGGAACGCTTGGCACTTGCCCACAGCAAGGTTTCTGCTTTTCCTGCTCCTGGCCGCTTGCAACGTCACCTCAGGACCAGTTGAGGAGTGGTACCCGTCAGTGGATCCATTGCCATGGAGATCCAACCTTAACCCTTTGGGGTCAAGGCCGATCGAGCAGGCAGCCATGATTTGGATTCGGTCAGGCACTCGATGGGATCCACGCGAGCCAGAGCCCACACAGTTAGAAGGCCCCGCTGACAACCCGTTCGAACACCTTAAGTGGGCCCTCAAGTTAGACAGCAGTTCCCTAAACTTTCCCAAGCACAACCCGTGCCTTTCCTGGGCCTTGCAGTTTGGACAAGCGTTAGGACAGAGCCTGCTTGCTTGGAGAAAACAAATCGTTCGAGACGTACAGCTGCTGCGAGAAGAGCTCCAGGACGAGCAAGGTTTGTGGCTCCGGTCAGCGCCCAGTCACGTCCGACTTGTGTACAAACAAGGTGGCGACAGATTCGTCTTGCAGTCCCTAGTCGTTTTGCACTTGCTTCGCCTTTTCGAATGTCCAGGAATCCAGGACCTGTCCGACGAATTCCAGTTCGGATTCAAGGTGCTTGGACCGTTGCCGACAGGCACAAACTGGGACGTGCGACAGGACGCTAAGTATAGCAGACCCCTGACCCGTTCCCAGCTCACCGCCCTAAACAGCCAACGCAAGAAAACTTTGGCACTTGAACAAGGGGGCTCTGAACATGCGCCTGCCATGTTAGCAGAGGTAGATAAAGAAGCTCAAGACCAGGTTTCAAGGCCCGTTCGTGCCCTCCGAGGTTGCAAGTCCAGCAAGACAAAAGGTTCGCAGAGCTGATGACTGGAGACAGAAGAGATCCGGTCACAACAGCACAGTCTTTGTACTGGACGCCCGGCCGTACGCCGGGACACAGACAGTACTCACGTCAGTCCAGGCCGCCGCTGAGTACGGCGCTCCAGTGCTTGCGGCTCTTGACCACGACGGAGCTTACAGGGCCCTTCCCGTCAGAAGCCCAGACGAATGCTTTGTGCTCGTCCCGTCCGATGAGGGACCTCAGGTGTTCCAACACCTCGTTCTCCCTTTCGGAGGAACGGGGAGCGTGTGGGCCTACTTGCGTGTGGCGGATGTCATTTGCTTTAACACGTTAGTGCTGGCATACATACCCGCCGCACACTTTGTGGACGACTTTTATTTTAGCGAGCCGCCTAAGACCGCTGAGTCAGCCTTTGACTGCTTCTGCATGCTGCAGTCCTTGTTAGGCTTCACCATGAAAGAAAGCAAAGCCCAGAAACCCTGCGACAAGTCCACCCTGTTAGGAGTTCTTTGGGCAATTCTCGAGAAGACCGTCACTGCAGGACCCAGTCAGGGACGCCTCGAGAAACTGCAAGCCTTGCTACAGAAGACCCTGTCAGAAGGTAGCTTGAGTCCCGAGGAGGCTGCACACCTGGCAGGTAAGCTGAACTTCGTCTGCTCTTGGGTCTTTGGAGGAGCGGGAAAAGCGTTGCTCAAATGCATATACACCTGCCAGCACTCTCCCTTTCCCCAGAAGAAGCTCAACGCAGCTCTGGAAGCTGCACTCAGAAACCTGTCAGCACTCCTCCCATCTCTCCAGCCCCGAGAGTTCCCACTTCAGAAATCCATGTTCACTGCAAGACCGCACGTGTTGTATGCGGACGCTTTCGTCACGCTGGCAGGTTGTAGTCAGTCAGCAGCCAGGTGGCTGAAGCAGACCACACCTCTGCAGGTGTTGCAGGGGTCCACCAACGGTTTAGGTGCAGTCCTGTTCGCCAGCTCAGGACAGAAGTGGGCGTACCGAACCATGATCCCCAAACACCTGTTGGCCAGAGCTGCGTCTTCTAAGGCTTCTAAGGCTTTCATCTTCTGGCTGGCGGCAATCGCACAGATTGTTTCTATTGCTGCGGCCTCTAACGTCCTGTCAGGAGACGGTTCGTGGACAACACATCCAGTGAGCACGCCCTAAGGAAGGGATACTCGACGGATCCCCAGCTGACTAACCTGTTAGGTTGGTTCTGGTGTTGGGCTGCTTCGGTTAGACTTAACCTGGTGTTTGTGGGAGTTTCCAGCAAGGCCAACCTGTCGGACCAAGTCTCCCGAGGCGACTGGGAGATCAGTGACTCGTTAGGCTGCAGCCGCCTCAAGACTTTGACAGCGTCTGGGAAGTCCTGTTCGAGCTGACTGAGAACCCCGTGGACCCTACAAAAGACCTGTTCGGAAAGCTGGTCAACCTCCTTGCGTTGCACCCGGTTGTCCAGTGAGCGTGAGTGAGTGGTCGTTCCGCGCTAGAGTGGAAGTTCTGCGGACCGACCAGTTCGCCTTTTCGAGGCTTGAGCAGGTTGGTTCGAGACCAGTTAGTTCGGACCACACCACTCCGCGGGCAGTGGAAAAGAACCGAACTTTGTTCGTGCGCACTTTCACTAAGCCCAGAACTTGTCAAGAGCTTACAGGAAGTGGGTCCTTCTGAGCAGCTGAAGGGGCTTGAACTCATTGCTCCGAGTCTTAGCCTGCGCTGTCTGTCAGGTGACGGCGGGGGTGCATGCGTGAAGAACTTCAGACAGGGCCCCANNTCTCGCAGGTGACGGCGGCGGTGCACACGTGGAGGAGAACTTCAGACAGGGCCCCAACACCTCTGCCATCTTCCGCAGCTGCCGGGCGGGACGAGATGGAGCCTGGGCAGCAGTTTGTCGGACAGGGACGGCCCCCGCAATGAAGTGTGTAGAAGATGTCAAGGTCTGGGATTGATGGCAAAGTCTTTAGGGGCTCCTCAACGTGAAGTCTGTAGGGATTTTGGAGCTGTGGCCGTGCTGGGGCGCACTCGCATCCCAGACAGTTGCATGGGAGTCATTGCAGCCTCGGTTCAGGGTTTAAGGCCTAGGGTTTAGGGTTTAGGGGCGTTTGCAGAGCGTTCTCTCTTTGTCAGGAGGTGGCCTCGATGCCTGGATTAACTACCAACAGGAAGCCGGGAGTTCGGTGCTGTTCGAGAACTGCTCGGCAGATCGCGCTTTGGCCGTCGAGAACGTAGGTGAGCGTTTTTGCTTTCGGGTGTCCTCACCACGGTAACTCTGTGGCCTCATTCCGAGCGACATGGTCCTTGGTTTCCGACGGGCTTGCAGGGGCGGCAGATAGAGGCTGAAGATCTGTACGTCTTGGGGCTGGCCGTGCTAGAAAGACGTAAGGCCGTAAGGCTCTAAAGTGGGTGCTTCTGAGCAGCTGAAGGGGCCTGAACTCATTACTCCGAGTCTTAGCCTGTGCTGTCTCGCAGGTGACGGCGGGGGTGCTGCTTTCTTGGAAAACTTCACACAGGGCCCCAACAGCTCTGCCATCTTCCGCAGCTGCCGGGCGGGACAAGACGGAACCTGGGCAGCAGCTTGCCCGACGCCCGCCCTGTTGGGCGTGTCCGTACTCGTGCCTTTTCGAGCCTTAGTCGGACAGGGACAGCCCCTGCAATGACATGTCTTCAATGCTGGTGGCAATGCTGGGGACACCAAATCGCATGTGCATCCCAGACCGTGAACAGGTTCGGCATCTTCAGAGCGTGCAAGCCTACCCAGGAGGCGGTCTTTACGCCAAAGGCGGCTACCAGCAGGACGCCGGGAGCTCGGTGCTCTTCGAGCACTGCTCGGCAAAACGCACCTCGGCAGTCGAGAACGTAGATGAGCTGACGTGGCAGATCCGAACGCGGTGCGCGAAGATGCATGAGGTTCGAGTGCATAGACGATTGTACCTACGAGAGTGGAGGCGGTGTATAGTATAGATAGACCCCAAGCAATTATTAAATAAGGTCAGCGCACTCACGGAAGCCCGCTTCCCCTGCAGCGTTGTATCTCCCATGCTCGCTGCTGCTGAGGGGACGGAGGCGGTGTTATCACCGAATGCCTGGACGGCAACGGCTCAATGCACTTCAAGGCATGCCGGGCACACGCAGGCCAGGAACTTCCCAAACTTAGGCTCCTTGGGAACTGCGTTGGGCCAAGAATGTGGCGTGATGGACCATCCTGAGTCGTACTAGTATAGCTGCTAAAGCTGCTAGGCTGCTAGGCGTGCGCATCACCGAGCTCCGCAGCGGCGGCCGTGAACAACTGCAACCCCGTGGCCAATTCTGTGTTATATAGAAAAGCCTGCACCCTAAACCTGGGCTCTCTGTACTTCTGTTGACAGGCTCCGGCCTAGTGGCTCATCCTGGCATAGGAGTGTCGCACTCGTAGCAGCAGTGAGAAAAGGAACCCTCAAACATGTCCTAAACCACCCTCGACTAACCCTGAAGCCTTAAACCCTAAGCCCTAAATCCTAAACCCCTAAATCCTAAACCCCTGAACCCTAAACCCTAAACCCTTTCGCATACAAGGATCTCAGAACGCAAAGGGCCTTGAACCTCCCACCCTGGCAGCGAGGATCTTGTACGACTACCAAACGCATCCTTTTACTATAAGGGTGGTTCTCTAAATTATTTGTAAGGGTGCCGTACTATATTTGGGACCCAAAAAGAGGGCCCCAGTTTAGAGAACTACCCAAAGGTAAGTACTATAAGTATTGGGGCCTTGTTAGGGTTTAAGATTTAGGGATTTGGGGTTTAACGTTCGACGTATTAAGTAGTACTATAAGTGCCATAAGCACTGCTGCTGATACGTATTGTCGGTCGGTACTACGATCAGTATCATTGTCCTGACATCTGCGAAGCTTACTACTGCCGGGCACAGGTGGCGGCCTCAGGATCACCCAAGCCGGCACGGTGCATCACGGCGGTTCGCTTGCATTCGCGGCCGGGTGCTTGGGTGCTGGCGGGTTTCTGGGAAGGGTTTAGTTTAGGGTTTATGGTTAGTAAACCCCTAAACCTTTTGCGATCTTTTAGGTCACTGTTTTGGATGTTTTGGCTGAGCCCGAAGCAAACCGTGACACTTCGATAAAAGAGGGATCTGACTCGAAATCCTTCGAGTCCATGGAGCCTCAGAGCAGAAATGAGAGCAGAAATGATCGGTGGCATGACATTCAGCAGAGAGAAGCGGAGCTTTGAAGGCGTGCCATGCCAGCAGCATCGGCGGCGGGCTTTACCTGAAAGAAGGCCAAGGGTGGCAGGGGTGGATGGTTGTTGGCCAGGCTTGAAAGCTACATCTTCGCTGTCATCCCATCATTTTACCAGCGGAGACTCGGGGCTCGTGTGCACCTCGTTTCAGGCTTTCTCACACAGACAAGCACCTCATCATCATAGTAACTTCGTGAACCGGCTTTCAGCAGCATCCCGTGATCTGTCCAACATGCTGCTCTGGCTGTGAGTTCATTTGTCTGACATGCAACGTCCTGCACGTCTTATCCGCCTGACATTCACGCCGGGAGTTGGGCGGGACTTGTGCTCCTAAGCCCTAGGCCCTCGACTCTTTGCCACCGAGGTGTTTCAGACCAATCCCCGAGAGAATCACAGAGTCGGAGCGTTGGGCTTGGTTTAGGGGTACGTCTTTGACGTAAAGGCACCTACAAAGCTTGCTGTCGGGATTTCTGGTTTTTTTTAGGGCGGCCCTGCGC